ATGATACCCTTGTAGGCCTACAGTTCAATATCTTACATCAGTTAGGAATAGTAAAATAGTAATTTTTAAACTCTTGTTAAAGTATAAAGTTATTTTTTTGTATAAATGTATAAGGTTGATATAATATAGTATAAAGTACTTTTAAAACCTTTCGCCAATGCTGGCGTTCGCCTGGCGAAGCTTCGCCAGGCGAACATCTGAGTGAGGGAGGCCTTACTTTTAAAACCAAGGCAGGTGTTCGCCAGGCCTGGCGAACGAAAGGGATCGCCAGGCGCTAACATCTTGGATTCCTGATAAATCTAGCGCTTCGGCGAATGAAAAAAAACGCGAGAAAAAGCAAAAGGTTTTAAAAGTACGGGCCATAAAGTTAACCTTGTTATAGTATAAAGTGTAGTATAGCATAAAGTATAAAGTTAATTTTGTTATAGTATAAAGATATTTTCAACTTCTTTGTTATAGCATAAAGTTAAATTTTAACTCCTTTGTTATAGTATAAAGTGAGACTATTGCGGAAACATTTTCGTCTTCTCTCGAGGTTAATAATTAAGTTTAGGTTATGTTATGTGCACTGCAGATGTAAACAAATTTGCGCTACATTTAGCGGGAATGCAAGATGTTAGCGCCTGGCGAACGTTGGGTTTAAAAGTAAGGCCTCCCTCACTCAGATGTTCGCCAGGCGAATCGTCAGCACTGGCGAAAGTTTTTAAAGTACGGCCCTAAGACCAATAAAGAACAGCTTATACCCCAAAATATTTACGTGGTCTTTCTCATGTTCAGCTCAGTGACCACCAGTAATTTTGTCATCTGTGCATACCCCCAACCAGACATTGATGCATTTGTGGAGATAAATATATCTGGATATGTATTTAGCGATTTAATGTAAAAGTGAATATTACTTGTCCACCGTTTTATGAGACATTCTACTCTCTCATCCGAAACAGCGTAGCTCTCCGCAAGTGCCTCATTCCTTAAAACTTCTAAATATAAGGTAGCCCAATGTACTGCTTCCCCTGATGCAACTACATTGCCAATGAAACTAGTTAAATCTCTGATTGTAATCTCAGCCATTTGTAATGATTGTAAACCCAATCTTCTGATCATCTACCTTTTTGTGTTTTATTATATCCTTGGAATTTAATATAAAACAAGAATTCTATTTCATGACCACACCAATTCTGACTTTCCAAATGAATTATGAACCCGACTTGATCCAATGTTGATGCAATGTACTCCACATCTATCAGTTTTCCTTAGAATATGCCATCACATGCCCATCATCTATGGAAACAGTTGTCGAAATGCCTAGGGTCCGAAAACGTAAAAATGGCACCTTTAATCATTTTGTAAAAAGTCTAGATGAAGAGAACCCCAGAGGAAAACAAGAAGATTGCCATAATTCCCCATTCCATGTAAATTTTAACCATGATCGATCCTTCTTGTGTACAGGGACTGAAAATGTGCTTTTAAGTCAACAGAAGCAAAGTAATTCTGCGCAACCAAATAAAAAATGTCCGAAAGAGTCTCCATCTGAAGAAAAGAAGAAATTTTACATACTAATTCAGTCGTTTGAGATTCAATATGATTCTGGCACTTCCATCCTTCTTCCGCCAGCTTTCTCAACAGTATGCCCATAAATAAATCTATCCATGGCCGTATCTAAGGCTTTGTCATTATTAGAAAAAACGTAATGAGATGGAGGTCACAAAGAGAAAATAAATTCTTGCCCTGAACTGTATCTTTTATCCATGGATCACTGGATAATTCTTAAGGAAATAGTTAATCATTCTCTCCTGAAAATTCTCAGGTGTGAAAACCAACTCTAATTAACTTTGGACAGGTATCGACTTAAACCTTGGCACTGTGTAATCATAATAAAAATATATATGCTTAGGAAGCACATAATTTTGTACCATAGTGACTTCGACCTCTGCCGCTTTACCTTAGAAGGCTCCTCTGATATTGTTTTTACAGTAAACCTGCCGCCTCTCCTCTTCTTGTTTTTCACCTTGAATCCTTTTGAATTTTCTTTTGCAGCAAACAAATAAGCATCTATTTTGCTATGCAGTGTATTCAAAAACAGCTGAATTCCCCATTTTTTTTAGAAACTCAAGACTTGTCCGACTTCCGTAAAACAATAATAAAAATATCGTTGACGACGATACTCGAAACCACGGCACGGAGACGGAACTGACACAGTCTAAGCACGGTTCTGCGCCGGGCGTGTGACCGTCGGCTCAGTTCAAAGTACCGTTACTTTTTCACCGGCACTGGCGGGCTGAGCGGATGCGGCACTGATACGCCACTGTTACGTGTGAATGAGCCTTCAGCTGCATAATGAACAAAAGTTCAAGTAGTAGAGCGTTCGTTTAGCATGAGAGCCACGGGGATCGATACCCGCATCTCCAATTATCATAATAAGGCGTCCTATGGATTTTCTTTTTCTAAGTTCTAACTTATATCTTGCTGGAGGTATTCTGATTTTTGAAAACAAAATGAGACTGATTATATTTAAATAAATTCTAACGTAAGAATACTCACTTTGGCGTAATATTACAGGTATGCTCGTCTAGAACTTCTCAGAATTACACAAAGGAGAAAAATTACATCCACTTTCGCTCGCAAACCTTTAATAACTACTAAAACTAGACAAAGCATATATGCTATCATTTCTATTACTCAAAATATTGCAAGATATAAAATCAAAGTACCTAGGCTTCTACCCTTTGCTTCATAATTTTCAAGACTTTTGTCATTTATATCATTTGTTACGAAAATTAGGGAGATTGGAGCCCCCCCCCCCTCGCCACAATACATAGGCCCACTTCGGTGCGGTCTCTGCTAATAATGATACAATGCTGATGATACAATTACTTTTTTTTGTCCAAATTCCTCTCTGTAGTATCCATACCGACACTACTATTTCTTATCTATTATAGAAAATCCATATTTCCTCATACTGAATGCAACAAAAAAAAACATTGAAAGCCTAAAAAACGTGAATTTTGAATGCAACAAAAACTGTGGATAGTGCATACTGAATACAACAAAATATTTTATCATACTGACCGATACATAGAACAAACACAGGCCATAATGAATGCCACAGAAGACATGGGTATTACATCATATTGAACGCAACACAAAACATGCTTATTTCATCACATTGAATGCAACAACAAAACGAGATATTACTCCACACCCTTCACTTTCACGACACGAGATACTGAACGCTAAAAAAAAGGATAATACACCATATTGAATGTTGCCCATCACTCGCTAGGTATCTGGTCGAGGGTCCCATTCCTCCTATAATTGTAAAAAGGGAAAGGCTAGATCAGTAGCAACTCGAGGAGGTGACATTCTGATGATTGTTCAATGAAAATATAACCATTAAAATAATTATTTTCCATCCTCTTTGAAAATTGAAAAGACCAAAATGATCGACCATATTCACAAAGCATCCGTAACTTGTGTGACGTCATCAAAATGTGCTTTAAAAAACTAGAATCAGACGCCAAGACACCTCAAGCTGCTGCTGATCTACCTCTGTGTAAAAAGTAGGAAAATAAGTAGATTTTCTTGGTGTGAAAATAAAATGTTTTCGATCTTTTTTCAGAAAGCGCATTAATTTCTTTTCCTTCATTCCTTCCAATACTCACTTCACATATCAAGTGCTCTCAATATGCTATCAGTATGAACGATTGACTGAAACATCAATTCTTTTCTATGTCTTCTCTTTTTTCTCTCTCTTTCTTCTGTATGTTAATATAACAGATGGATTAATTGATATAGGCCTACCAAAGAATCACTGAAAATAATTAGTAAATAAATAGACACAACAGAACAGACACGGGAAGGAACATAAGTTTATCTCGGAAATACACTATGGTAGAAAAATGGGCCTTTCCCCTGTTTACTCTCTCTCTCTCTCTCTCTCTCTCTCTCTCCCTCTCTCTCTCTCTCTTTCTCTCAATAACTCCATCTCTCTCTCTTCTACAACATCACACACACTAGCTCTCTCTCTCTTCACACACGTCTCTCGTATCCTCTCACTCTCTTCTCTCTCTCACACACGCTTTCTCTCTTTCACCCTCTCTCTCTCACCCTCTTTTTATCTATCTATTTATCCTATCTATCTATCATCTATCTCTTTCTCCCTCCTCTATTTCTTTCTCCATATTTCTCTTTCTCTCTTCTCCTCCCCTCTCACCGCCTCTCACCCTCTCACCCTCTTCTCTCTCTCTCTCTCTCTCTCTCTCGTCGTCTCTCTCTCTTTCTCTCTCCTTCTCTCTCATCTTCTCTTCTCTTCCTCTCCCTCTCCTTTCCTTCCTCTCTCTCTCTCTCTCTCTCTCCTCTATCTCTCTCATCTCTCTCTCTCCATTCCTCTCATTCTCTCAATCTCTCTCTCTCTTTTATCTTCTCTCTCTCTCTCTCTCTCTCTCTCGTCTCTCTGTCCTCTCTCTCCGTTCCTCTCTCTCTCTCTCCTCTCTCTCCTCTCGGGTCTCTCTTCTCCTACTTAAGATCTCCAACCATACATTCCTCCGTTATTGTTGTTCTCGTACGGTCACATGTCGGTCACGTCTTCCTCGTCCATCAGCCATCTATACTCTCCATTATTCCCCTGTTCAATCCTATCATCCACTATACGTCAGCCACTCTCCTCTCTCTCCTGGTCTCTCCGTCTTACCACTCCCCCAACACAACCCTCTCTTCTATCCCACTT